CCTGACTTCCTCCTTTGGCCTCCTTGAGCTCCTGGGCGGCCTTGTCAAAAGCTGCCCTGCGCTCATCGAAGTCTTCTCCATCCAGCAAGTCCACGTCGATGTCGTCGCCGTCGCCTGCCGTGGCTGCAATGTGCTCGCCGCTGCCCGCCCCGCCTGTAGCTGTACCAGGAGGAGCACTTGCAGCATCAGGCCCGCTGGCCACTGCCCTCTTGGCCTGAGCCTCGGCCTGCAGGCGCTGGAGGGTGGCCAATGCAGCTTTTCCTTCATCAGACTGGGCGACGGTCTCGTCCAGGGTGGCCGTGACTGCTCTGAGTGGATCTCCATCTGCTTGGACGCGGAAGAGCGCCTGCTCAGCCTGTCCGAGGTCCTCTTTGAGCTTGTCGACGCTCTTGTCCAGCTCAGCGATCTCGGCCTGAAGATCCTCCTGTTGCTTGCGCAACGCCGCCGCACGCACCTCCGCCTTGGAGAGCTTGGTGCGGAGGTTCTCGACCTTCCAGTGCGCGGCCCTGGACGTGGGCTGCTTGACTGCCGTAGCCTGCTTCTTTGCCTGTTCTGCTTCTTCGACCTTCGCCGTGTCAACGCCCTCATCCTTGAGGAACTGCAGCACATCAGCGAACGAGAGCTTGGCGGACGCTTCGCCCGTCGTGCCCCGCTGCGGCGAAGGGGAGCTGGGCTGCCATGGCGGCCGAGCTGGGGGCTGCTTTCCCGCCAACTGTGCGACCTCTGCCCTGAGCTCCTGGATGAGGCGCATCTGCTCTTTGTTGCTGGGTCCGATCGGCGGCGGCCCTTGAGCCCAGGCACCACGAGGCCCGCGAACCGATCCTGACTTGAGTGCCGCTGATGCCTTACGAGCTGCCTGGACGACTCGCACTGGGGCATCCTTGCCGCAGCCTCTGCATATGACCCTGGACGCCCAATTGTCCGGGCACCCGCAGCTGCAACTCCACAGGAGTCTTGGCTCCAGGCAAGACATCGGGCGGGTTTGGCACCATCCGCCACTGCTGGACTCTGCAGCGGGAGGCGCCGTGCGCTTGTGAAGTGGCCCGTGTTCACGAGCCGCTTCGAAGTACGTGAACACAAGCACGGGCCCCTGAAAGAGCTCGTGCCGAAACGGCTCGAGGAGCGAGGAGGAGGAGGATGGGCGAGGAGAAGGAGGAGGAGGAGGAGGAGGGGGTGCGGGGGATCCTGAGATTCGTGTCCATGGATCCCTGGAGAGCTCGGAGCAGGCCCCCCCTCCCTCCCGAGGAGGGCCTCCCTCCTCGCCCGGAGCCCCCTCCCCGCGCGCCGGCAGGCCTCCGGGCCCCCCCGGAGGATGCCCTGGGAGGAGGAGGAGGAGGATAAGGAGGAGGAAGAGGAGGAGGAGGAGGAGCAGGAGGAGCAGGAGGAGGAGCAGGAGGAGGAGCAGGAGAAGACGGAGGAGGAGAGGGAGGAGGAGGAGGAGGAGGGAGGGAGAGGAGGAGGCAGGAGAGGAGGAGGAGGGGAGGAGGAGGAGAGGAGAGGAGGAGGAGGAGGAGGGGGAGGGAGGGAGGAGGAGGAGGAGGGGGGAGGCGGAGGAGGTGGAGGAGGAGAGGGGGGGAAGGAGGAACGAGGAGGAGGATGCGGAGGAGGATGAGGAGAGTGAGGAAGGAGGAGGGAGGAGGAGGAGGAGGAGGAGGAGGAGGAGGAGGAGGAGGAGGAGGAGGAGGAGGATGAGCAGGAGGAGGAGAGGAGGAGGTGGAGCAGGAGGAGGAGAAGGAGGAGGGGGAGGAGGCCCAGGGCGACGCCGACTGCACGCCACCTCCGTACCCGGCCCCGACGTGCCTGGCCCTGGCCGCTCTCGGCCCCGACGGGGCGCCTCCGCCCCGCTGGCCGAGGCCAGGAGGGCCTGGACGGCGTCCTCGGGCCCAGGATGCCCTAGAGGAGGAGGAGGAGGAGGAGGAGGAGGAGAGGAGGAGGAGGAGGAGGAGCAGGATAAGACGGAGAGGAGAGGGAGGAGGAGAGGAGGAGAAGGAGGAGGAGGAGGGGGGGGGAGGAGGAGGAGACGGAGGAGGAGGAGGAGGAGAGGAGGAGGAGGAGGGGAGGAGGAGGAGGAGTAGGAGGAGGAGGAGGAGGTGGAGGAGGAGGAGGAGGAGAGAAGGAAAGGATGAGGAGGACGAGGAGGAGGAGGAGAGAGGAGAGGAGGAGGAGGAGGGAGGAGAGGGAGGAGGAGGAGGAGGAGAAGGAGGAGGAGGAGGAGGAGGAGGAGCAGGACGAGGAGGAGGAGGATGAGAAGGAGGCGGAGGGGGAGGACCTGTTCCTGATGGCCCAGAGGCGGTGGTGCAGCGGTGGCATGACGGTCAACGCGTGCTCAGAGCTGGCCCTACAGTAGAGGCCAGTCCACAAGAACCCTTCCACAAGAAACACAACCCTGAGACCCCAGGACGTCCATGGATTTTTGGCGTGGGGGCGTCACGCTTTCCATCGCAAAACCATCGAACCCCAAGAAACCCAGGGCACCCTGAAGGCAAGTGGGGTGTTTCTTGGCATGGGCCCCCACTGTATAGATGCCTCCTGTGGAAGACACATTCTTCCCATTATGGTTGTCTTCTTCGACCCAGATGGCTGGTCGTGAGCAGCACCCGCCGATGCAATCTACACTCCAGATCTAACGCGGAGATCCAGCAAATTCCAAACGTGCGGCTGGCGAAGAACGGCACCAACCCAGCGGGACCGCTCATCAACCCACGCGCCTGACTGAGGCGAGCGGGGCCGAAGCTGGAGCAAGTGGCCCCAAGCAAGAGCGAGCGAGCAGACGACGGGCCGATCTCGGCAAAACGCGGCGAGGCGTGTGTGCCCGTACTCGCTTGGGCAAAGCGCGCGGGGACGCAGCCCCCTCCGGACTTTGCAAACTCGTGTTCGCATGTGGTCCGCCACGACAGTACCGCTAGTCACATATAGAAAACCCCCCAAAAAAGCATAAGCACAAACTTGGTGGTCCGCGCGGATTCCTTGGATCTGAGCTGGACCCCTATCCCTGGCGCGCGGAGCGCGCTGGGGGCGGCGCCGCAGGCGCTGCCAGGGCGCTCCGGCGCAGATCCAAAAAATCCGGGCGGAGCGCCAAAAATTCATGCTGATGCCGTTTGTTCTTCTTCGACTGTGACCGCCTGGCGTCCTTCCTGCCGTAGCAGCGTCGTGACATCGCTGGTGTCACGCCGCGCGAGGAGCGATGCGCGTGCGACGCTGACAGGGGTGATGGGCGTCCACCCACAAGTTGGAGGGGGGAAGGATGTGCAGGATGATTAGGAGGAAGCAGAGGACGAGGAGGAGGTTTAGCAGGGACCGACCGTCCCCGCATTCCTACAGTCCTACCACGACATGTTCTTAGAACCCAAAAATGTTCTAATAACAAAAACAATGCTCTTAGAACATAAGCCCGATGTGTTCAAACAAGACAGACTCCGTCAGACATGTTCTAAGAACATTCCGTGGAAACCACAAGAGGTTCTTGGAACATTGTTTGGTAGAGCTACAGGCGAGCCAGGACGCTTCGCCACTGCTTGAGGAGGACCACCTGCCCCTCCCAATTCTGGTGGTGGGGGTGGACACCACGCCCACCAGGGGGACTTAAGACCTGGGTACAGGGGACTCGGAAATCCCCGACGAGGTCGTCAAAAAAATGACGAGGCCGAGCCCGCATTTTGACGAGGCCTCCCGCTGCAGACATCCCACGAAACTCCTCCTCGTCAAGATCCGAGGCGCGGTCGTCAAAAAACAATGGCGAACCCGAGTCCTGGCAAACCCGGGTCTTACGCTCCCCGACAAAAGAGGCGAGGGCCCTTCTCCAGCGAGGCCCGTGCACCTCAGACTCTGCGGGCTCCGGCGGCGCGGGGGCGCCCCCCGCTCGGACGCCCCGCGCACGAGCGGCCTGCCCTCGCTCGGACGCCCCCTCCCCGTGCATTCTCGGGCCGGGCGAAAGGGGGGGGATAGCAAAGGGGGGGTTTGAGAATCAGCTTACGTAGCTGATTTTCCCAGCGTCGCCCGGCGCCGGAAGGCGCCCCTGTATCAGGGAATGGGCCCGGCGGCGGGGCCGAAACCAGCTGCATGCAGCAGACTTCGTAACCCCCCCCTTTCCCTAACCCCCCCTTTCGCCCGACCCGACATTCGTCGAGTTCGTGCGCGTATGTTTCGCGAGGTGCTCCGGGATGCTTCTCGACGGTCCTCGCCGGTCGGACGCCCCTTCCAGGTGCACGTGTCGAGTTCGTGCGCGTGTGTGTTTCGCGAGGTGCTCCAGGACGCTTCTCGACGGTCCTCGCCGGTCGGACGCCCCTTCCCCGTGCACGTGTCGAGTTCGTGCGCGTGTGTTTCGCGAGGTGCTCCGAACAAGTGTTCGGATCATCTCGCGGGGGAGAACTCACGAGGGGAGGGGGAGGGAGGGAGGGAGGGAGGGAGGAGCAGGGGGAGGAGCAGGAGGAGCAGGAAAAGCAGGAGGAGGGAGAGGGGGAGGGTGGAGGAGGAGGTCCTCGATGCTTCTCGACGGTCCTCGCCGAGGAAAAAAAAAAAAAAGCAGCACGCGCCCGAGCGGTGCCAAGGCAAGGCGGTGGTGCACGGGGGCTCCGCCCGCACACCTGCTCTGGGGGGGGGTCCAGGAACCTGGCGTGTGGCTGAGCAGTCAGGCTCGCAGCCTGAGGGTTCCACGAAGACACTCACACTCACACACACACAAACACACACACACACACACACACACACACACACACACACACACACACACACACACACACACACACACACACACACACACACACACACACACAAAACGCACGCACGCACAAAACGCACGCACGCACGCACGCACGCACGCACGCACGCACGCACGCTCCGGAACGCTCTCAAGAGGACTCATCCTCGCCCCAGCCTCGTCCGACGGCCTCCGAGGGGCCTCCGAGGGGCCAAGCCGAGGCCCTCGTGCGCTCCCACGCTTCGAGCGCGCGTGTGCGCCGGCCCGGCGCGGGAGCGCGCCCAGGCGCCCCTAGGCCGCCGGCGCTTTGGCCTCCTCCTCGGCCTCTGCGACGGCGGCATCGGTGGCGGAGGCGGCCTCGGCGACCTCGGAGACTGGAGGTCTCCTCCTCCTCCTCCGCCTCCGCCTCCTCCTCTTCGGCCTCCTCCTCCTCCTCCTCCTCCTCCTCCTCCTCCTCGGCCCTCCTCCTCCTCGGCCTCCTCCTCCTCCTCCTCCTCCTCCTCCTCCGCCTCCCCCCCCTCCCCCTCCCCCTCCCCCTCCTCCCCCTCCTCCTTCTCCTCCTCCTCCCCCTCCCCCTCCCCCTCATATCTCCCAACGCTGCCTCTGCGACCCCATGGGGTGCGACCCATGGGGTGCGAAAAGGTGGGGTCGAAGGATCGCGCCGCGCCGCATCGCCAATGCATCGCCGATGTATCGGCGCTGCATCGGCGATGCATCGGGGACGTCGGCGATGCACCGTCGACGTCGGCGTGGGGAATCAGGGGTTCCACATCGAACCGCATCGCAGATGCATCGGCGATGCGGCGCGAGGCTCCGACCCCACCTACGCGGACCCCATCTAGGAGGCCCAGAGAGACGAGGGAGGGACTGGGGAGGATGGCCAGAGTAGACCCTGGTTGCACCAGTGGACCCTCCAGTTCCAGGCCCCCTCCGCACACGCTCCTGCAGGAACTCCTCGTCACTACGGGGAGCAGCCTTCTCGAAAGATGGCGAGCGCACCACGAGCCTGCCCTCCAGGCGAGAGCCCGAGCTGGAAAAGGAGCTACCCTGACGAACGCGATAGGGACAGAAGAGCACAGCGAGAGCCCAATTTGGAAAAGGAGCAGCCCTCCATCCGAGTAAGTATTCCACAATGTTGCACGTCGGATCGTACCCTGAGGACGTCTTGAGCGAAAAACCCCGCTCTGATCAGGACCCGCCCTCCCTCTGCTTAGCAATTCTGCGATGTTATACTGCGGGTGGTTCATTCAACGAGAGTCTTAAGCGAGAGACCCATTTTGAAAGGGGCTGCCCTCCATCCGTGTCGCTGGTGTACACTACTTTTGCCAGTCGGGAGCCCACTGTTGAACAGGATCCGCCCTCCCTCCTTGCTGCTGCTGGGAATTTGTTCGGCGAGTCTTGCGGGCGAAGCTTGAGCGAGAGCCACATTTGGAGCACGGCACACACATTTCATCCTTGCAATTTTTGCCAACCTCAATTCCGCCGCCGCGCCTTCAGCACGTACGGCAGGTTCGTGTCGTGTCGACTCGGGCGTTGGTTCCTGACACCGCGGGGATCGTTCAACCTCGAACGGCCAGCCGTTTCCGACACGTCCAAATCGTGCCACTCCGAACGATTCTGGGTCGCCTGCGGCATTCAATGTTGAACGCCGCTGGCGGGGTCGCCGGTCGACGCGACACGAACCTGCTGTAGTGGAGTGCAGCCCCAGGGCTCATGCAGCCCTCAGGTTCTCAAGGCCCGGGCCACCGTTCGCAAAGGATTTGTCCGGGGACTCCCTGGGCCCGAGGGGAAAACGGGCGAGGGGGTAGAGGCATGGGTACCTCGCCCCCCTCCGAAGTACGGCACGCGCTTCCGCATTGCAGGTGTTGCCAATCTCAAATCCGCCACCGCGCCCTCAGCACGCAGTGGAGTGCCCCCAGGCTCATGCAGCCTTCGGGCTCTCAATCGGGAGCGGCCAAGAGGGGGGGGGTCCAAGAGGGGGAGGTGCAAATCATGACCGGCGGCGCGTGCGCGGCCCAGGCTGGGGGCCAGGGAGGTAATGAAATACGAAGAGGCACCAAGAGATCTGGGGAACTATCATGGCCCACGCCATGATATCCACCCCCCCTAGTCATCGCCCCCCTCTGTGCCGCCCCCGACTCGAGGCCCAGGCCACCGCTTCCACGCGAACTTCTCCGGGGATGCCCCGGGCCCCGGGCGTGCCGCGCGCGCCCTCCAGCGGCGCAAGCCGGCCAACACGTGGGCCCCAAGAGTGCCTCAAGAGGGCCGATGCTGCCTCCGAGAGGGCACACGCGTCAGGTTCGTGTCGCGTCGACTTCGGCGTTGGTTTCTGACACCGCGGGGATCCCTGAACCTCGAACGATCGGCAGTTTCAGAAAAGCGTCCAAATCGTTCCACACCGAACGATTCTGGGTCGCCCGCGGCGTTCAAAATTGAACGCCGCTGGCGGGGTCGCCGCCGGTCGACGCGACACGAACCTACCGTACAACTGCCCCAGTGCGCCCAAGGTGGCCTCAGCACGGCTCCAGTGGCTCCCAAGGCGTCCCAAGAGTGTTCCAAGAGGCGTCCCACGAGGGCCTTGAGAGGCAACAATCATTGATTTCCCGTGGGCTTTTGACGGTTTACGACGCTCCAAGACGGCCCACGAGGCCCCCAAGATCGCCCCAAGACAGCGACCCCCAAGAGGGGGCCCAAAACAGCCCAAGAGGGCCCCAAGACGGCCCAAGAGGCGCCCAATACTGCCCAGGAGGACCCAAAGATTATACAAAGAGGGGGGCCCAATGGGGAACCCGAACGGACATTTCGAGCCCTCGGCTCCGAAGAGAGCCCCAAGGAGGTTCTTAGATGCCACCAAAAGGCCCCCAAGAGCTCTCTGAAGGCCCCAAGAGAGGCTCCCAAGAGGCCCGCAAACTGGAGCCTGTTTCTGTACTATCTGCTATAGCGGGCGTGATCGGGGGGGGGGCGGCGATCACATCACGGCGGATTTCAGCCTCCTGGGGCCTTTTTTAAGCCCCCGGGCCTTCGGGAGAAGGAAGATAAGGAAAAGGGATAAGGAGCACAGGAGGAAGAGGGGAGTGAGGAGGAAAAGAAGAAGGAGCGACGACTGACGATGTTTGCCTCTGCCGCGTGGGCGAGCTCTTCCACCCCCTCCCCGAAGAGCGAGGTCCGAGGCTCGAGGAACGAGGTTTTTGTCACTTCGTTCTCGCTTTTCCGGCCTCCCGGTGGCGGACAACAGTGACGACGACGAATTCCTGGGAACCCCTCGAGATTCTCTGGAAGCCCTGGAAGGTTCCTTGAGGACATGTGGGGAAAACAGCGTGACGTGATCGGGAGGGGGGGCGGGGGCGATCACGAGCGTTATCGCCCAGACTGTTTTTTGATATAATCGGAAATGGACAGACCCCCCTTTAGCAAAACGTGGTTTGGTGAAAACGACCTGAGGCCCAAACCTGGCGGGCGCAAGCCTGGAAAATAACGGCCACGGCGCCCTCTCGAGAACCGAAAACGGACAATTCACTAATCGACGTGTCACTGTTGGGGGTTCTGTCCACCCCCGATATAAAAAGGCCCCTGTCCCCAGGAGGCTCCCGAAAGAGCCTTAAAGAAACCTGAATAAGCATCTCTGAGAACTCCGACCCATGACCCAGGCACGGCGGCGGGATGGGCTGAAGGACATTCGAGACAAAGCGCTGAGGCCATAGCCATACGCTGAACACCCTTCGCCGCCTACCCTTCATCTGGTGTGTGTGTGTGTGCGTGTGTGTGGGCGCGTGCGCTGACTTCAAGCGAAGGATGCCCCAAGGCCCCGCTTCTCGAGCGGCAGGAGGCGCGGGAGAGGGCGAGCGAGGGCGAGACGGAACGGGGGGAGGGGAAACACGGATAAACCCGAGGAGGAGGAGGAGGAAACCAAGGGCTCCCAGCTTCGCGCTTCGCGCTGCGCGAAGCGCGACGTGCGAATCATTTCGCGCTCTCGCGCCGCCTCCCAAGGGGAGAAGAGGAAGACGAGGAGGAATCGGAGCCGAACCGCGAAGCGCGAATAACTTCGCGCCTTCGATGGGCGCCCTTGGAAACGGGAAAACGGAAAACAGGGGAAGGGGAGACCAAAAGGCACCGATACCGCTGCTCCCCGGACCTCTCGCGGGGCGCGCTCTGACCAGGACGTCGAGGCGAGCCCAGCGGCGGCGACGGGGGAGGCCCAGGAGGCCGGAAGAGGGGAAAAGCGCAGGGCAGAGGCACGGGTAGCCGTTCCTCCCCTGAGAGGAGGGACCTCGGCCAGCTTCGCCGCCGCCTCCTCCCTCGCCCTGTCCAGGGCCGCGCCCTTGGCGTCGAGCGCCTGGCCGATCATCTGCACGGCCTGCTCCTGGAAGGCGTGTCGCTCCTCCTGGCGGGCGGGGCCCCTCGTCCGCACCCCCTCCTCCTCCTCTTCCTCGTCGTCTTCCTCCTCCTCCTCCTCGTCGTCCTCCTCCTCCTCCTCCTCCTCCTCCTTCTCCCCCTCCTCCCCCTCCTCCTCCTCCTCCTCCTCCTCCTCCTCCTCCTCCTCCTCCTCCTCCTCTTCCTCTCCCTCCTCCCCCTCCTCCTCCCCCTCCTCCTCCTTTTCCTCCTCCTCCTCCTCCTCCTCCTCCTCCTCCTCCTCCTCCCAAGGATGCGAGATAAGGATGCAAAAAACATCGGACGCCCACTTCGAAGCGTTTTTCGAGCAGACCGCGGCCAACGAGAGTGGCCGAGGATGGACCGAGGAGGCAAAACTGCAAGGGCACCCTCGGGAAAGTTGCCCATCTTCATTACCCATCGGCCGGGAGAAGGTAGACACATGAAGTAGGGAGGCGTTGAAAGTAGATCGGGCGCCAGCCGGCCCCCGCAGGAGGACGGAAAAATGTGAAGCCACTCGATCACTGAAGCAGGAAAACGCCTATTAAAGTAGATCGGGATCTAAGGTTCTAAACACACCTACTTTCAACAACCGGTGGGCATTACGCGTGCTGACTGAAGCGGAAGAAAGGGGCTGAAGTTGAGCAGGGACCGACCGTTTCGGCACTCCTGTTGGCTTACCACGAAATGTTCTTAGAACCCAAAGGTGTTGTAAAAAACAATAACGAGGTTCTTAGAACGTGAACCCGATGAGTCAAAACAACACAGTCCCAACCAGAAATGTTCTAAGAACATTTCGTGGGAACCACAAGAGGTTCTCATAACATTGTAGAACATTGCTTGGTCGGCCTACGGGCACGCTGGGACGCTTCGCCACTGATTGATGCGGGGAGGGCGACCCACCCTGGGGCGAGGGGGACGGGCCCCTGCAGGAGGGCGGGCGGGCGTCGCCGTCCGCCGCCCCCCGCCCCCTGGGGGGGACGGGGGCGGGGACACCGACGCTGGCATTGAGTCGGGCATATCTTTCTATAGGAGGAATGTTCAAACATAGCAATAATCCGCCGGCCCCCTTGTGGGGCCACCAGGCTGTAGGCGCGAGGTTCGCAATTTCCTGTACCAGTTGTAGCTTGTAGTTTCCAGTGTTACAGTTCTGCTTCTTGCTAGTTACTGTAACAAGTTGATTGACCGCGCGAGGGGGGGGGGGGGGGCCCAAACCAGATTTTTAGCGTCTCCTGGGCGCGTTGTCTGAATTGCCGGGGGGGCTCGAAATCGACACCCCTCACGCAGATCCGCGGGGTCAGGGTCCAAAAACACATGGGATTTGCCACATTTCTGAAATTCGGTGCCACCCCTCACGCAGATCCGCGGGGTCAGGGTCCAAAAACACATGGGATTTGCCACATTTCTGAAATTCGGTGCCACCCCTCACGCAGATCCGCGGGGTCAGGGTCCAAAAACACAGGGATTTGCCACATTTCTGAAATTCGGTGCCACCCCTCACGCAGATCCGCGGGGTCAGGGTTCAAAAACACAGGGGATTTGCACATTTCTGAAATTCGGTGCCACCCTTCACGCACATCCATCGCAAGGCGTGGTAACCCAAACTGCGAGAACTCCCTCGGCCCTTTAATCGCAAGGTGTGGTAACCAAGCCCGTAAACCATACACGTCTTACCAATCGCCAGGTGTGGTAACCCCTCTTGTGATCAGTTGGTTTTGCTGGTTGCGAATCGGCTTCGCATGAAGTTTCGATACTGCATCACGACAGCGCCAAGGCCTCATGACTTAGCTGTTCCATGGCGCATTCTCCGAGAGAGGGGGCCGGCGGCAGAGGGGCGAAGCCCTTACGGATAACGACAAATAGCCTGGGGACTGTGTTTCAACCATTTTTGACCATTCTCGATCTGCGTTTCAAATGTTTAGGGATCGGCCGGGCAAAATCAGCCTTCCAGGCCAGGGCGGACAATATTCATATAGCTTTCGTCCAGAATTTGTTGTTAGGGTTAACTCGGGCATGTCTTAACAAGCGGATTTTGGACGAACCATGAAACATAGGCAAAACAAATCCCTCATACTATACATATAGGTATGTATGTATGCATGTTTGTATGTATGCGTGTATGCTTGTATGCATGTTTGTATGTATGTAGTATGTATGTAAGCATGTATGTATGCATGTATGTATGTAAGTATGTATATATGTATGCATACATGCATATATACATACTTACATATATATATAATAACCACAACCACACAACAATACAACAAACAGAGTAAGCAACGTCCCGAAACTACGTTTTAACACTATGTTTGAATATTCCCCCTGTAGAGGGACATGCCCGAATAAGTATACGGGAACATGCCCGACCTAACCCTGGCGCGGAAAGCCCAAAATCGAACCGGCAAACCAGATCGGCGATCGACGTGGCTCGGGTCGGCACACATCGGCCGCCGAGTCAGGAGAAGTCGGTTTGGCGGAAATCGGCAGGCTGCTGGGCCTCCAGTGGGGAATCGGAACCCAATGGGGAGTACGCTGCCGAACCGAATCGGGATCACAGGCAATCGAAATCGAACCGAATCGAATCGGAGGAACCGTAATCAACCCTGACCCTGGCACGGAGGACGCTTGTCTGTGGAGGAGGGGGAGGACCCCAGAGTGCGCCCCGCCGCTATTGGGGCCTCTGCGATCCTCCCGCGGGCCAAGAGGCCGCCGGAAAAAACGGCTCTGGGTGGAGCGGCTGGCCCTGTAGAAAACCCAACCCGCTCCCCTCAGGGCCCTCTCTCGCTTCGTGGCGACGGCCAGGACATCGCGTTTTCCTTCTCCTCCTCATTTTCCTCCTGCGCAATTACTCAATATGAATACTACCCCCGTCCTTCCCCTGATGACGGGTTGGGGGTGTTGCCCCCCCCCCCCCCCCCCCCCGTGTGCTGACTTTCTACACACAGGATTCCCCGGAGTTGGGTTTTCGCCTGCATTTTTTCCAATATGCTGCTCTCGGTGAGGCGTTGGCCTCATTTTCGGGCCCCGCTCGTTGCGAATCGTGCTCCCGCTGCAGCGCTGGCCTCATTTCCGTGTTTCCGTTCGTTCCGAATCGTGTTCCCGTTTCGGCGCTGGCCTCATTTCCGCGCTGCCGCTCGTTCCGAATCGTGTTCCCGCTGCAGCGCTGGCGTCATTTCCCGTGCAACGCCACGGCGTGCAATGCAATGCCAAGTTGCGCTCCGCTGCGCGATGCCATGCGTTCAGCTGAAGCTGTGACGCGCAGTGCTCAAGTGCCACGTCGTCCTATGCCATGCTACGCTTTGAACTTCAACGCCATGCTGCGCAATGTTCTGTTCGGGGCCACTGTGCGATGCCATGCTTTGCATTGTAAAGCCCTGCGACGCAATTCTTCACTACGCCACGCCACGCCGTGCTGCGACGCACTACGCTTTGCGGTGCCCTTTCTACGCCATGCCACGCCGTGCCCTACAACGCATCGCGCACCCTTTCGGGATCATTGCCCTGCTCGACATCGGACTGCGCGGGTAGAGAGGGGATCGACGCCATGGTAAGGGAAGGGAGGGAGGGGTGGGATGTCCGATATGACGCGAGCGCACCTAGCTTGTCCTTCTCCCCCCCCCACACTCCTCCTCCTCCTCCTCCTCCTCCTCCTCCTCCTCCTCCTCCTCGCCCTTTTTCCTTGTCCTCCTCCTCGTCCTCCCAATCGCCCTCCTCGTCCTCGATTTTTGGATGCTGACGCCAGTTGCCCCGGTCGCGGGCACCCCTGGGCGCCCCGCCGCAGCGGCCGGGCTCCCACCTCCGGGCCCTGGCCGCAGCGCGCGCCGAGGCAGGTGGAAGGGGGCCGACTTTGAACAGATCGACCCCGACCTCTGGCAATTGAGTGACTCGGAACGGTGTGCTCGGCGGTGAGACGAAGCCACGATGAGGAGAATTTGGGGCAGGGATGAATCGAAAATCTCTGAGATCTGGTGGCTCTGGAAGACGTCTCGGGCGCCGCGGCCTTCCCATAGCGTTCCCGAATGCTCCGAGAGCATTCGGGGGCGCTCTGGAATTGATCTACCCTCGCCCTCACCGCCCCCCCGCTGGGTAAGATTTCTGGGCCCCCGCGCCGCCGAAGACGCCTGCGCCTCTGGCCGAAAAATGTGGCCTGGGAAGACAGTCGAGATGCCCAGGGAACAGGAGTCCTTGGGCCGGGAGGCGGGAACAAGGGCGAATGAAGAGCTTTCGCATACCGGCGACACGCGCACCTGCAACGGCAGTGATGACAAGAAACGACGACGGCGAAGCGTGACCATCCAAAATACCATCATCGCCGCAAGTGTCGTGAACCAAGGTCAGCAGCGTCGGACATGGGAGGGTGGCGGAGACGGCGGCGGTGGTGAAAGCGGGGCGCTGCCCCAAGTTCAGCGAGCGAAGAACGGTATAAAAGAAACTTTTTCGCCGTCGGGGACACCTGCCCCAGGCGGCTGGAAAGTTTATACCCTTAACGGCGAAACAGTTGAGCTTATACCGTTCTTCGCCCGTCGAGAAGTGACGCTGTCTTCTGAGGGGCCCAGTGCTGGTTTCACCATGCTGGGCTGCTCTGCTGGGGCTGCGGCGTGCTCCACGCCTCCCCTCCGCCCGCACCCCCACGGCAACCCGCGGCACCACCGCCACCGCCACCGCGGCTGCAGCTCGGACGCGTCGAGGCGCGGCCCGGCGGGGCCGCCGCTGGACCTTGGGAGGGGCATGCGAAGATCATCGCATCTCTCCTGTGCTCCTGCCCCCCCTTTTCGCCCTCATCCCCCGCGTCGTTTGCCCGATCACTTCACCGCCATCCCTCGTCATTCCCCGCCATGCAAGAGAGAGCCCGGAGTCGAACCGATGAGGCGGATCGGCAGTCGACGTAAACCGGATCGGCGGACATCAGCAGCCGAGCCGGGAGAAGTCGAGTACGCGTCCAATCAAACGTCGGCATCAAAATCGGAATCCCAAATTGAATCGATTTGGAGAAGCCGGATCGAACCGGAGGAATCGAAACGAGCCCTAGTCCCCCCCCCTCGGATCCATCCCACTCTTCTCACCTCATCACCCCTTCTTTCCTCGGACCTCCCTTACGCTCTTTAATTATCCACCCTCCCTAGATTGTCCATTCTCTCTCTCCTCCTGCCCCTCCTCCTTCCCAGACTTTCCCTCGCCTTCCCTTTTCCCCGTCGTCATGCCCTTTATCATGTCTTCCCCGCCCCCCGAGGGGAGGGTGGAGGAATGGGGAGGGCGAGGGAGGGAAGGAAGGCGGTGGAGGTGGTCGTTGCCACTCCCTCCGTGTCGCTCCCTCCCCCCTCGCCCTCCCCCTCCCCCCTTGTGGGAATGGGGGGCGGAGGTGGGGGAGGGGGGAGGGGGCGGCGAGGACGCAAGAGGGGTCCGGGGGGGGAAGAGCCCCGCCGCGCGGGCGTGCCGCGGAGGGGAGGGCATGGGCCAGGGGAGAGTGCGGGAGGGCACGACAGGGAAGGAGCGGGGCGCGCGCATGGCGGCCGTGCCCCTGTTCCCATCGTCCCTCCGCGCGGCGGCCCCCCCGCGCGGCTCTCCTTGAGAAGCGCGAGGGAGGTGGGGATGGAGTCCCTGAGCAGCTTGACGACGGACTGCGGGGGGGGGCGGGGGCGGCAGACGAGCCACGACGTGGCCGCACACCGAGGCCCGTGCCACCTCCGAGTTCCCCCCTCTCACCATCCTCCTCCTCGTCCTCGGCATCGTCCCCCACTCCCCGTCCAAACCCTCGCTCTCTTCCCCCGCACCCTGCCCCCCTCGCCCAACCCCTTCCCCCCCCCTGCTGGAAGAAGAGGGAAACAGAGAAAGCGAGAAGGAGAGAAAGAGAGGAAGATATAACAACAAAGACAAGGAATAGCAGGGCGCTGAGGGTGAGGAGCAGGAGGACGAACACGAAGGAGGTCGCGAGCACGAGCATTAGGGGAGCCATTTGCAAAAGAAAAGAGCCAGGGGGTGTGAGGAGGATGGGCAGCACTAGACGATGACCGGGAGGGGCAGGAGGAGGAGGAAGAGGAGGAGCAGGACGGGAAACAGGACGACGAGGCACATGGGGTTCGGAGGCATGGGGGTTCGGAGTGGGTTGGGTCGGTGAGGGGGCTTGGAGCCCTCATGGGGAGGGCTCATAAGTGAGGACCAGGCTGCGGGGAACCAGGCCGGGGAGGGATGACGACGGGGCACGGGCAGGACGGGGCGAGGTGGGAGAGAGCGGTCCTCTCTCACAGGAGGCGCGCCGCGACGGGGATGCCGCCCGGGGCAGTGCGGAGGGGCCGCGGCGGACCGGGCGTGCAGCATCGAGTTGAGCTCCCTACGGTGCGCGGTCCAACTGAGGGGTGCGCCGAAATCGGTTTCGATGGAAATTCCAGGGCGCCCGCTGAGATCTGAAGAAGAGCTCCCTCTCACTGCACGCTCCACGCGAGCGGGCGTCGATGGGTCGGAGAATGACGGGTGGGGGAGCCAAGGCGCATCGAAGGCGGACGGAGTACAGTCAGCACGGGGGAGAAGCGCAGCAGCAGGAGCAACTTCACGGATAACGCATGGGCCGGCAACAGCTCGAAGACAGGACCCGGTTTTGGAGTGCTGCAGGAGTGCGCTCGATAGCGAAGGTGGGGCGCTCCCTGGTCCAACGACATCTGTATTCCAAGAGGTGCGACGGTGACGCCCTTCAAAAGAATACAGTGCCCCCTCCGAGGTGGGCGCGGGGACACCGTGCGTCGGCGCCGACTGAAAGCCATACAGTAGGGGCCCGACCACAAGAAACCTTCCACAAGAAACCCAACCCAGAGACCCCTGGCCGTCCACCATGGATTCCTGACGTGGGCAAACAGCACCGCCTTCCGCAGCAGAGCCATCGAAGCCCACGAAGCCCAGGGCACCCGGGAGGCAGGCAGGGTTTGGACGCCCGAGTTATCCGGGGTAACTCGGGTCCGGGGTAACTCGGGTTGGGATCCCCGCAAAAACGAACCCGAATTAGCCCTGACCCGAATTACCTCTGATGATGTGGGGCTCTGGACGCCCGAGTTATCCGGGGTAACTCGGGCCCGGGGTAACTCGGGTTGGGATCCCAGCAAAAACGAACCCGAGTTAGCCCTGACCCGAATTACCTCTGATGATGTGGGGCTCTGGACGCCCGAGTTATCCGGGGTAACTCGGGCCCGGGGCAACTCGGGCTCGGACTCCCGAAAAACGAACCCGAGCTAGCCCTGACCCGAGGTACCCCTGATGATTCGGGGCTCTGAAGGGTTTTCCTTGGCCTGGGCCCCCACTGTGGGGGATCCCCATGGGGGCCACGGCCCTCCAGGGGGGGCCTGCCGAGATGGGGCGCGAGGGCGCCCTGCGTCGGCGCCATCTGACACCGCGGCTGGCGCCCCCCTGTGGGGACCGGATCTCCGCGGGGGAGGAGGAGGAGGAGGAGGAGGAGGAGGAGGAGGAGGAGGAGGAGGAGGAGGAGGAGGAGGAGGAGGAGGAGGGGGAGGAGAGGAGGAGGAGGAGGAGGAGGAGGAGGAGGAGGAGGAGGGGGAGGAGGAGGAGGAGGAGGAGGAGGAGGAGGAGGAGGAGGAGGAGGAGGAGGAGCCGAAATTGGCGCGAGGACGCCGTGCGTCTGTGCCCGCTGAGACTGCAGGTGGCGCTCCCTGTGGGGCCACGGTCCCCGCCAGGGCTGTGCTAAAACGGGCGTGGGGACCCCATGCGTCGCTGCCCACTGAGGTCGTTCGTGGCTCGCGCGGCGCTCGCTACAAGCACCGTCCACTCGTGAGAACGCCCGCGCAGCGACCCAGTGGCGAGGTGGTTCAACGGCTTGCTGGTCTTCGGATCCAGCCCGTCTCGGATATGATTGATCTGGCGCAGCCGGCATTGGAGCGGCGCCCCCGACACATGCTTGCGCTCCCCGCCGAGCTGCCTGTGCTTGCCATGCTGCTCCCCCGCGTAGCACCGACACCGCTTGCAGATCGTGTAGCCGTGGACCGTCTCGAGGTCGGTGGCTGTCCGTCGGGCCTGCGACGCCAGAGCCCCGCGGTCCGTCAGCAGCCGCGGCGGTCCGTCTCACGGCTCCCCGCCCCCAGGGCTGGGCAGGGTGCGTTGCTCGCAGAGGCATTCCAGGGGGCGTGCTGACAAACGAGCCAGCGCCCACGGTGGCATGCGCGGCGTCCACAGCTGCACACCATGGGTCGCCGCTCGAGGCGGCAGCAGCAGAGGCTCAAGTGCGACAACAAAACCTCAAGCGCGATAGAAAAACTTGAGCGGCCCCTGCCCTCAGCTGCCGCTGATCCTCTTCCTGCTCTGGCCGTCTGGCCGCTGCCAGCGACCGCTGCGCCAACAACAGGGAGGGCAGCGACTCCTTTGCCCCCGCCTGACCCCGCTGGTGTCAGGAGCGAAGGCCTCCTCGCGGCACGGGCGCGAGACCGGCCTCTTCATGCCCTGCTCCCCCCGCGCCGTGCGCAGACGGCGCCAGCAGTGGACGCCGCCGTTCGCGATCTCGATCGGGTCGTGTCTCGTGACGCTGAGGGGCGGTCCAGTCTTTGCTCTGCCCATGGCCTTCTCGAGGGGCGTGCACACATGCGCGCGGGGACGCCGCGCGTCTGTGCCCACTGAGACCGTCTGGGACCACGATTCTCGTGATGGGTGCCCCGCAGTGGTCGCGGGGACGCAGCGCGTGTGCGCCCTCAGCACCGTACGCGGAGCTCCCTGCGGGGCCACCAAGCGTGTGCGGGGTGTGCGACATGGGCGTGCGGAGAGCAGAGGCAAGGAGAGGAGGAGGAGAGGAAGGAGAAGAGAGAGGGAGGAGAGAGCGGCAAACGAAGAGACGCGGGGCGCTGCGGCGTCGAATCGAGGACACCCGGGTTGGGAAACAGCACGAGGACCCTGTCAGTGGAATCGGGCTCGCACGGCACGCTTGCAGTTGCAGTGCAGAATGGCTTGGCATGTGCGAGTGGCATGCTTCCGAGTCAGTGCCTACGCACCCTGCGTGAATTTGTTCTGTTTGCGGCCCTGCTGCCTTACTTCCCTGCTCTCATCCCTCCTCCCTGGTCCTCCCTTTTTTCCTAAGGCAAACTGTTGGGCCTCAGGGACCAGAAGCGTCAGCTAAGTCGGCTGCTACAGCAGCACCAGCCACAAGAGCAAGAAAGGCGTGCCTTGCACAGGAAAGCAGGAGCTCCCGGCGGCATCACGACAGTCGCCACAAACGGCTCGTTCAAGGAAAAGCGCTTGTCCTTCCTCTCCCTCCTCCCCTCCCCTCGCCCATTATCCCTCCCACCTCTGGGGATGGTCGAAAGGCGGAGGGACAGCAGCAGGGATGCTGGCGAGTCCGCTGCACGGTGGTGGCCTTCCCGGCGCGTCCCTGCGCCAAGAGCGCCAACGCATCAGGGACAGCGTTCGGCGGCGGAGCCGAAAGCAGCTGCAAGCAGCTGCACGCAGCAGCTGCACACCAGCTTCATCCCTCGCCCTCCTTCTTTAGAAGAAGAGAAAACGCCAGAAACATAAACTTTTGGCGCTCCGCGCGGATTTCTTGGATGTGCGCTGGACCCCCCTCGCTGGGGCGCGGAGCGAGCCAGGGGCGGCGCTGGAGGCGCCGCGGGGGGGGCCCAGCGCGGATCCAAGAAATCCGCGCGGATCGCCAAAAGTTGATGTTTCCGGCGTTATTTCGTCTTCGATCTTCCCCGCGCTCCTTCCCCCTTTCTCCTCGCACACCATCCCTCCCCCAACTCGCCTCGCATGGCTCCGTCCAGTCGCCAGGAGGGGATGGGGGCGAGGCGAGGCAGAGAACGAGGGCGACGCGGACGACGACGAGAATCGGAATCGGAGGGCGGGCTCGCGGGGTCTGTGGTTGAAGGGGCCCTGGGACACGCAAATGTGTAGACACAACTAACCGGATGTCCGATATGTTCCCATCTGTTATGGATTTGTTTTTCCCCCCACTTCCCATATTTTCCCATATTTTCTAGGGTATCGACGATCAATTGTGCCTGGATGTATTTTTTCCCCCTCCTTATTGGTGTCGGCTCGAAGCTGCTGCTGGGCGCGGCTCGAGGCACTGTCCGCAGCTGGCCTCTCGGTGGCGGGCCCTGGCTGGCCGCCGTCGACTCGAGGGCGGCCTCCTGCTCTCCAGGGGAGCGACGCAGGTGCACAAGCTCAGGTCGGGCGGCGTGTCCCCCTACAGGCAGAGCTTGGACGCAAAAGCAAAAAACTACCCAAAGCATGCACAAGAATGGTCGAGCAAATGCTCCCAAACATCGTCCCCAGGCTATGCTCTGGCTATTTTTCTACACTCCTCCTGTAGAGGGAGAGGGACAGGCCCGACTTGAGCATGGCATCGACAGTCGCAGACCTGCGTGGAGATCTCGGGTCGGCGCTGGACCCGTTTGTCCCCTGGGCCAGGAGCGTCGCCCGGGGGGCGCCGGCACCGACCCAAGAGATCCGCACGGACCTCCCCCAAACATGTGTTGTGTTTTTTGGCCCTCCTCCTCCTCCTCCTCCTCCTCCCCGTCCCCCTCCTCCTCCTCCTCCTCCTCCTCCTCCTCCTCCTCCTCCTCCTCCTCCTCCTCCTCCTCCTCCTCCTCTGGCTCCTCCTCTGGCTCCTCCTCTGGCTCCTCCTCAGGCTCCT